ACAACGATAGGTCGTTTATTTTCTCTCGGTGTAAATTGTCGTATAAAACGGTTTATCTTGTTATAACAACAAATGTAAAGGGTGTTCTGTAATTGTGTAAAATTATAAAAAATATTGTTCCCTATTTACACAATTTATTGTTCTATGTCTTTATTTTTCCATGTACAGGACAATCGGTGTAACGAAATAATCAAAACTACGCAACATCTACTGCTACATTTGTTAAATTAAAAAAATATATTTTTCCATTAGTCTATAACAAACTGAATTTACTTATTTCTCTAGATATTTACTCATCAAATTGATCGGTGTAAATCAAATTGTAAACGAAACATTGAGCAGCACGAGCACGAAGCTTTGTCCGTGCAGGAAATATAATTTCGATCTATGGAAATCCGGTGTTATATGAAATTCGGTGGACGAAAACTTGAAATTACGGTGCGCGGTAGGTAACACATAGGCGTTGCAGCGGAAAAAACATGGATTGGTGAAATAAATTACTTACCGGCTGCAACAACAACAACGAAAAAAGTATGATGAATGAAGATAAATTAGATGGTAGCATATATCTGAATCAGAGCTGTCAAGTGGAATATTGGAAACACTACACACTCCGCATAGAAAATACACTCGAAACAGGGAAACACGAGCGGGGACCATCAATAGTCCGGCAGTTGGTGCACTTGACTACCATCAATTCAAACCGAGTCTCGTTATCCAAAACGAGAAAATCCTTTTTCTATAGATTCCACATTTATTTCCTTCTGTGTACATTACACGTATACATATAACTACTAGCACAATGCAATAAATGTAGAAACAATAAATACATCGTTGAAGTTATCAGAAAAATAAATTTTTTTTAACCTTCACGCTAAATAAGTTCCCGAAATGCCGCAATAAATCTTCACAACTATAAATAAAATGGTGTATAAAAATAGTAAATAAACTATGAGATCAAAGGTAGAGAAATCGCTGTAATTATTCCCCCCTAAGATAATGTACCGTAAGAATCATCATAAAATGAACGTTAACAGGCGTTGAACGAAAGAACAAGAAACCATGAAAGAAATTTCTGTATCAAGGAAAACGGAACGCGCAAGAAATATCGTCAGGGAATAAAGAAAATTCGATATTCCTGTTTCTGATTTCCCTTCAGTGCGCAAAGAAAGGATACATATCGCGATCTTGATCACGTCATTGATCTCTCGTTATTCGATTTGATGCGCCAGGCCTGTACATCGAGAACTCCTTTCACCCGTTTATTTCGAGACTCGAAGTGACACGCGTAACTTCCCTCGCGTTCCGGGACATTTTCCCTCGACAACGTAAATTTCTTCGCAAGCGCGCAGCTGCTCCGAAACGAGAGTTGGACCGATTCCCCGTTCGCCTACATTAAACCGGGGGTTGGGTGAAATATATACAGGATGAGTCATTTAAATCGATCGCCCCCCGAATATTCTCGGAACGGTTCATAACACTGAAAAATGTTTCGAATACAAAATTGAATGGTCTGGATAGGGGAATAATTTGGTGCGAATATTTTTTTTAGGTGCATAGGTGGAAGACATTGTGAAGTCCAATTTGTCTTTTTTTTTTTTTTCAATCAAATGCATCATTCGATGCAACGCCCGATATTCCCTAAAAGAAACTATGTATTAAGCTATTTATGCGAACAAGTTTAGGAAATACCTCAATTTTAATGTTACATAGTAATATATATTCATAGCGTCTTTATTTCGTAAAAATCAGTGATTAGAGTCTGGTTTCTCGACACACGCTGTCAGAGGAATGAAAAATGGGATTTTTTTCGATTCTACATCGATTCCCGGCGACATATTGCATTAATGGAGGGCGTTATGAGAGAAAAGAGCTCTCGCCGTTGTGCAATTTACGGGAGCGTAATAACCGACTTTGATCATCGACAGGGACACCTGCTACGGAGAGGTTATCGGACAAACGAAGTCGTCTTGTTAAAATTCATAATGTCACACGAATGGGTCTCTATGATCGAATTTAAGAGCGTTTCTATAATAAAAATGATTTTAGAGCTTTCCTTTTTCCCCCTTCTCGTCGATACGAACTGAAAAGAACGGAGATTGACGTAATTTGAAAATTATTCAATTTTGGCGAGTAAATATACCAATTTCAACGAATCAAAGTCATTCTTAAAATATTCCCCCCTTATTCTACGATCCCACCCCCCTATACATTCGTATACAGGGTGTCGCAAAAAATATATTACACGTAATCTAAATGGTACTAAGTGGTCAGTATCCTGCAGGTATTGTTTTTTTTTTTTCGAAGTTTTTAAGGTCATTTTCACCTTCATTTTCGGGGGGGGGGGTTAAGGTCATTTGAAGGTCATGATACATATCTGAATTTATTTTTTCATGACACACGCGATACAATAGAGAAAAAAATGATTATTTGAAAGAAACACATCGCAAAATTGCAACTCTATAGAATTAAATGTGTGTGTTAAAAAATTTTGTAAAAACAATATTTACGAAACCCACGGGATTCGCGCGCCGAAATGTCCCATCGGCAAGTTTTCCTCGTGAAACCCATTGTTCCGTCGAGGCAATAGCATAATTACTGACGGATCACGAGCGAATCGGCAATCGGCGAGTTTATAATTGTCCCTGAAACGAGGCAAAACGTAACTGGGACAGCCAGTAATAAACGTTCACCACGCGGACGCGCGTTTCGTGGATTGCCCCAGAGCAGCGGCGTAACAGTTTTGCGAGCGACTACATACATGTCGATGACAGCTGTCCGTCCCAACTGCATCGTTACAACGTAGAATCTCGCCGCGCGATAAGGAATTCCCGTTGACAGAGATACCCCCCGATTTGGTTCGCTGACAAATCACGCGGTCGACGAACACAACTCGGTCGACGCCCATTGTTTCGACTCGTTCTCAACCGTAATCGACTTAATTCGATCACGGTAGAACCTTCAATTGTAAGTGCTGACAGGGAGGCAGAAGTGTTCGGATAATAGAACGACAATATTTTCTTGTTTAACTTAATGTTTTAAGCATGACAATATAAATGAACACAACAAGGACACGTTGTATGAAACTTCATGGGTCCCATATCCATTTAGCCATAGAATACTATGACCTTCAGTTGACCTTGAATTGAACTTGTATTGAACTTGGATTAACCTTGAATTGACCTCAAACCTCAGGTTCCATTGGTAGCGTTAACGTACGCACCGTCTTAATAATTACTTTCTATACTAACTTTCTGTACTAAAATTTATGTTGATCGAACCTAAATTTCCTAAGTCATTCCAAGGTCATAATGATACTAGGTCGTTGCTCGTCTTGATGCCAGCAGACTATCCGTACAGACGTGTGTTGTGTGGCGAGGGGAGCAGACATCGAACATCTTCGGTGTTCCCACTAAAACCTGGACAATTTCTTTTCATGCAAAATTCATTATTTTACGTATGTGTAATACTTTGTGAAATAAAGTTTTTTTTTTTTAAACTTTCTGCAATTAATCATTTGCAGTAACTCTGTACAATAATGGTCATCGTCGTATCCAAGTAACCGCAGATTAGACAACCGTGAATTAAATATCCTCACTAAAAATCCCAGTAAGCCGTAGGAGTGTTTGGAATGGTTTCGGAACGGATACGTTCCAAACGGCAGATCGTCGCAAATGGCAAGGAAACGAATCGTCGTCCGTGCTATCGCAATTAGAATTGATACCTTTAGAGGATGACCCGTGCTCTACCAGACTATAACTGGCCATCCTGCCGCTTGGTGTAATCCTTCTGGATCCTGCGGACCAATTGAGGGAACACACTGGGCCCTGATGGGTTCTGGTTAAGAGCACAGCGTTGATAAATGGAGTATAATCAAGGGTTTGCATTTAGTGTCGCGTGGTCCCACTTAATTGCTTGTAAACTATAGACCGTACACCGAAACTGCCCGGGCACAGTATATAGTCCACCAGGTAATCCAATTACTCGGCGATCTGATGGTCCTTGTTGCGTGAACGAAGAAACGAGCGCAGTGATTTGCTGACAACGTTTCAATATGTTCGTCATTCGATACTTACGTGGGATGGCTATGATTAAACGTAACACTGAATTAGGTAAGTGAATTTCAGCTCGAGTTAGATAAGGCTTGATCTTCACTAGTGGTTGCGTGTGTATGTGTGAACAGAATTTAAAGGATAACTCGGTTACCTTTTTACAGTAGCTTTGAAGAAGCAAATGTTCAATATAACAAAATGTAATATAGTTTAATTACAAAGTGGAGTTTCACGTTGAAATAAATTTTAATGAACCTCGTGTATACACGCGGCCGTGATCAATGCCGAAATTAACGAATTTTCCGAGTGTGTACGCGTCAAGGTAATTGTAATGTAATTTTCGTACAATTTTCGCGAGCACTGACTACCACCAATCTCTTCGAAAACCACGTTATTTTTTAACACACATTTTGTATACTATCAAAGCAGTATTAAACAAGCAAAAAGTACGGAAAACGTTACGAAAGGGGCCACGAAATTATTCACAAAACTGTGTACCCCCTATCTGTATTGCAATTATACGAAAAATAACAATTGCACATCATTGTTCACGAAATACTATTTTATAAAAAAGACTTCGTGTAATTATAAACGTGGAACAATGCGTTGGATAGCAGTTAACCGTGTTCCCGAATGTGAAGAAATGAAAGACGAACAAATATAGTTAATTTCAATGGATTCCAAATGGAACTTTTGTCATTGAGTGTACACCCCCGTATAATCACCGATCAATGTCGTTTTGTTTTGCAGAACAACTGGCGACTACGATCGACTTTACGAGATCCGAAAACTCGATATTGCTGTATCGAACTCGGGCCTGGTTCAGTTTCAGCTCGATTCCATCAGGTCAACTGATTTCTCAGCGTCGGGGGCCCGAAAATTTTTCGAAAATATCGTGTTTCGTCGTCTTAGGAAACGATGACCTCGAGATCCATGACCCCGAGATCGATGCCCTCGAGATCGATCAGTGAGAACACCGTCCGAATCCGAAGACAGGAGCAATACATCGCAGCTGTCATAGGTAAGTTAACCTTCCTTCGTTATTCCTCATCTACCTTCAAGGAGTTTCGTTAAAAATTGTATTGAGGTTATGATTACTGATGTTTTGGATACTGACACTGATTGTATAGTTACTCAAACGTTTGCATTAAAAATTTTATGTTACACTTTATACGACAATATGCATCGAGACCACAACACCACAGTCAATTAAGTTCCCTGCAAACTTTCATTCTGTTAATACACTTAAATATTAAATCATTCACGGTAACAGAACATTTATTATTTCGTTATTCTTCATAGGTTCACTATGATATCTAAATATGTATTAACATACATTTTGATATACCTTATTCTTCTGATAATCGTCATTACGATCCTCTGCCTTATATACATTCACTTAGACATAGCGACGAACACTCCACCAATACGATTCTAAATGAAACGAAACAATCATTCTATTAACCCTTTAACACCAAGACCTTTTAATCGTATTGTAATTAGCAATCATTATTTCTATTCAACTGATTCTTGGAATATAATAGAAAAGAGTACGTGGTCAAAATACAACACTCGTCCATGTTCGCTGCCAGAATCCCCAGAACTTGTTCCACTTGCGTCAAGTACAGCAAACAGCAAACAAACTCGAACCGAAAAACGTCGCTTTCAAAAGCACAAAGAGAGACAAAAGCAAAATTTCTTCGATTAAAAAGAAAACTCCCATTTCCTTTTGTTAAAACGAAACACACACTCATTCCTCTATCCGAACCCCAAACATTTCTCAAAACCATTACGAAACTCAAATTCCTCGAATTTGTTTCACCAATGTCGAAAAAAAAACACACAAAACAGCTCCAACTCGAAACATTCACCATTTAAAAGCACAAAAAGAGATACAAAAGAAAATTTTTCTTAAGAAAAAAAAAACTTCGACAACGTTTGTCGCCTCTTGTTCGCAATTTTCTCAGAAAGCAAATTTCTCCTCTGTGAACGGGAAACACGACAGCCCACGGGGGTGCGCGTTCGAGGGTAAATTAACCAGCGTGAACCCGGCAATTAGGGGGTCTGACGTGGTACGACGACATCAAGGATCAAAGAAGAGACCAGGTCCAGAATGGACTGGACACAGGGCCGAGGGGCAGGCAAAAGTGATAGCTGACTCCGGTGTACCGTCTTTTGTTCGTGAATTTCCAGCGTCCCTGGGTGGTTTCACCGTCGGCGTCTCACTCGGCTGGAATTCCACGGCCGGCGAGGTGTTCCGAAATTACCTGGACGCCAGCTCGCTCGAGATCGGACTTATCGGCGGTTTATTGAACGCCGGAGCTTGCGTCGGAGCGATTCTGACGCCGTTCTTCTTCGGGCGATTCAGTCGGACCCCGAAAATGCCCGCCTTTGGAGCGGTTCTCGCTGTTGGCTGGTGTCTCATCGTATTCGCTAACGACAAAGTACGAGATCCCTGACCTTTCCTTCCATGGTTCTCGAGTTATGGCAGTACAGTGAATTGTCGATGAGTATTCGAAGGCTCCTCGGCTCTGAGTGTTCAGGCGTCATACCCTCCAATAAGCCCTTGACTGGTCCCACAGAGAATCCCCTCAGTGGTGGGGATGACGTCTGAACACTCAGTGCCGAGGAGCCTTGGAACTTTCTTCTTTTTTAATTAACTTCTCCGTTTGTTTTTGTGCGACTTTCAGATTTTGTTGATGATCGGTCGAGTGATCTGTGGGCTCCCGGCTGGCGTGTTCTGCGTTCTAATGCCAATCTATATAGCCGAGATCGCGGACGAGAAGATCCGTGGACGTCTCCTGTCGTTTTTCCAAATTTTCATCAACCTGGGCGTTATGTACGTGTTCGTCGCGGCATACATGGAGGAGAAACACAGCACCGTGTCGACGTAAGGCGTAATATCAAAAATTCCATGAGAAGGTCGATATCGATCGTACGTCAGAGTTTCTCCTGAAACTCGACGAAAACAGATTACTGGCCTGAGTGTGCGTGTATGTGGGTCGATTTACAGTCGTTCACGAGCGTAGACTTCGTTTCAATGAGTCCTTACCAAGTGGAATTGTTCGATTCCAACTTGACTGCGGTTCGTCCTTTGCCGTTCGGAAAATGAAATTGGCCGATTTGTCACCGGAAGTTCAATTTGCTTGACGTTTATGTTCACAATTGAAGCTACGTTGAACAATCTGTCACGTCGGATTATTTAATGAATCTTTTTGTTTTCATATAACGATATCGGTTCAGCTTGAAATATTTCTGATTTTCTTTCCCGTTAAGGTACAGCTTGGCTTGCGGAATGCCGTGTGTTCTATTAATCATGTCGACGAGACTTAGCAACAGTCCCTACTACTATTTGTCGAGGAACGATGAGATCAATGCAATAGTATCCTTGAAATGGTTTCACGGTATCGATTACGATGCCCAACGCAAAATCAACGAGATTAAACGGCTAATTCTCATGGTTCAACCGAAAAAGGTAAACTCCCCTTCTTAAAGGGTTAACATAAAATCAGTCTCCCCTACGTTATCCATTTGTATTCTGTGTTTTCGTTATTTCCAAATTTCTCGAAAGCACAAATAATTCTTAATCCTACTTGAATAAAATTCCACGTGAGTAAGCCAGCTAATTGATTGAATGTCTTGTTGCAGAATGATAAAAATAACAAATTCTGTCTTCTGAATCGCGATTCTCTCGTTCAATTTTCTTATTTTCGACGATTTCAGCTGATTCCGACGATGATAAAGAATCGTCGGGTGCTGCGCTCGTTCGCGACCTGCCTGGGCGTAGTACTCAGTCAGCACCTGAGCGGCGCCAATATGATGATCTTCTACGCTCTGACCCTCTTCAACACCATCGGTTCCGGTGAGCTGACCGGAAGCGAGCAGACGTTGCTAGTCGGGGCCGTTCAAATATTGGCGTCCCTCCTCGCCGCGTTACTCGTCGACGTGCTCGGACGTCGTATTCTCCTCGCCTTGTCCACCTCCCTCATGGGATTGTTCCTGATATTGTTAGGTAAACAACCATTTCGTACATACGCCACACGAGTAAACCCGATTTTCCTTCCGCGACTGCGCTGATAATCATCGACAGGAAATTGATCTGGACCTGGCCGAATTAATCTTTAGGTTTACCAAGAAGTGATCCGCTATTATTTCTGTTTAATAAATTGGCGGTGCCAGTGAAAATTTAACAGTAAACTTACCGAAATTTTCGAAAAGGTGGGAATTAGAACGATTAAACTGGTCATGATTGCTTTAGTGGTAAAATATTTATCTTTCTGAAGAATGAGGGCAAATATCACTTCTGATTTCCCTGAAATTATTGTATTGAATGTGGAAAAATATAGTGGGTTACTTATTGATCATTTAACAACGATCCATGTGAATAATGTATAGAGCTCTGGTTATTACTACAGATCAAATATATAGCGCAATGAAATTTTTCAAGAAAAAGCAAATCCAATTATCGAGAATTCTTTTAACAAAATAAGATATTCCATTTTCTTTTAGTTTTGAAAAAGTATTCTCCATTTTTCAGCTTCCTTACTTTTTCAAGGAACAATAGGAATTGCTGTCGTAAATAATAATGATTGATGGCAATTATCGCACAATTTGACGTTGTTTTGTAATGTACTTTATACGGAACCAATTAATTTTCCCCACGAATATTACGGTCTGTTATAATTTCTATACGTTTTCCGTTAATTGCTGTGATATAGGAGCAATTATTTAGTCAATTTACCCGTCGAAATTAATGGGTCTTCACGGAAGTTATATAAATTCGATGTGTCCGTCATTTACGACTGTGATTATTTAATTATACAAATTAATTACGTACTGTGAGTCTGCAAAAGATAATAAAACAATTGTTTTCTTTCGTTCAAAATTGCATTCCAAAGGATCTGTTGAAGGTTTTATACTGGTTTCGAGACACCCTGTATATGTCGGTGGTCGTGTAGAATCCATGGAACGTCGCGATATAAACGCTCTTTTTGTTTATTTTCGTCTGACAAAATTTTCAAGGTGAAAGTCGACTCCGTTTATTGGATACATCTCCTAATCCAGGCGTAAGTCGTACCTGGCTTCGATCCAGCTTAAAATACGAGCTCTTCCGCAATACTTCCGGCGCATGCTACATAACACACATCAGAACGTCAAAATAGACCGTAGATCAATCGGTAATACAGACGCTTGTTGGAAACACTTAAACGACAAATAAATTTCAGCTTCAAGGATAAATTAACGATTGGTTAACTTTCCCCTGGCTTGTTAGTTCTACCACGTTAAATTGAACGGATAATTTTAATACATTCAGAGTAAACGCCCGAGCATAGAAGTTATTCGAAGTATAATAATAAGATATAATATCTGCAATATTCTGGTAATTTTTGTATCTTGAAAGTACCATGAGAAAGCTAATTTTATGTGGAATAGTCTGTAGTATTTACAATTACTAAAGTTATTTGTAACAGAGTATTTGAAATCTTTTTATTCGCGGATACCTCATCTATATGAGAAAATTCATATTCGGAAGTAATTTTGATAATTCAAAAACAAAATACTTTTCTTTGACAAATAGATTAACGTGCAATCAATTCAGAACTACTTTCAATCGATTGAATAAATTTATTACTCAAATAATCGCCTTCTGATAATTTCATGCAAATGATACCCACGTCTGATTTAAATACAGTATATAAAGCCAATTGTATTAATATTTGAAACTTCATTGTATCACTAATTCAAATTCATTATAATAGAATCTCTTTCATAATTTCAGATCCCACATCTACCGCCATTATATCGATAATTTGTTATTAAATTGATCCACTAAACCTAACAACAAGTTTCTGATTTTACCATTTCACTATTAGACGATCTTCCATTCTTCCAACATTCTACCACCAAGCTAACCAAAAAACATCGCTTATAAAAACATATTTGTCTCCCTAATTACCTCGAATAATCCACGTTCTACAATACCTTGAACCAAAAACTATTAAGTCCCAATAAAAAAAAATGACGAAAGACATGTTACATAGTTCAAAGGCCTTTCCATTTCTTCCTCCTAAAGGGAAAACGACAGTACCAAACTTCCTCTTCCCGATGTAGACTAAAAACTTTCGATTCGTCTGCTCTTTTTTTTTCTCTCAGCTGTTCAAGAATCCCTGGTAAAATTTCGTTTTCCAGAACAATCACGTCACACCGTAGGCAAGTTGCAACGAACCAATGAAATTTTCCAAAATAATATTCAATCGATCGTCTCACGTTGTTCCAGGTTGGTTCTTCGGTCTACGTGACAAAGACCCGGAATACGACGACATCTACTTCTGGATGCCGCCTGCCTGGATCATCCTCTTCTTCGCCGCCTTCAACCTCGGCCTGGGTCCAATCTCCTGGTCCGTTTTGGGCGATACACTTCCGGTCGAGGTGAAAGTTCCAGTCGCTTCCGTAGTGGTCAGCCTCGGTTGGCTGGTGTCGCTGCTGTCCGCGCTGACTTTCGACGAAATGATCATCAGCCTGGGCGCCACGAAGGCAATGTGGCTCTGCGCCGGTATATGCTGGCTTTCCACGTTGTTCTGTGCCATCGTGGTCAAAGACACCACTGGGAAGAGCCTGACTGAAGTCCAGGAGGAATTCTTCGACACAGAGCCCAACAGAACAGATGTACAACAGGAGACGTGATAACCGTTATAGGAATCTGACGATAATTGGGCTTTCCCATCGGTTCTTCGAGAGCTACTAGATTGTAACCAGTGCAGACCTATTTCAATGGGGCTATCCTTATTCCATCGATTGCCCTCGAAACTGTCTTCAGAGTCCCTTTATTCGTGGGCCTTCTCGATATTTTCGATGAGGGTCGGTCTTGCGGATCTTTTGGACCCTCATCAGGAAGCTGCAGATATTTCTGGGAATACGCGGTCCTGTGATCTTCTTTACGAACTACAGAACTAGATGAACACGTTTCGTTTTGTTTATTGTGTTAGGAATGAAAAGGAAATTGTATTCTATTGTTATACTCTATGTTGCTTGAAATGATTAGAAGATCATGTAATAGTATTGTAACCTATAGTTCCTAAGGAAATTTTGTATGGAGATGAAACATGTCTGTTAGTATTGCAAGGAAAACCTTTTTGGAAAACCGATTTTGTTTTGTTTCCTTTCGCTTAGTGTAGAGGTATAGAATGTTCATGGTCTTTGAAGTTCAATCTGAAATTCGATTATTTAGATTCTTTTTCATTAGAAAATGAAAGACGCTTCTATTTTTTTTATCGACTTTGTTAAGTAAATTGATTATTAAAATCGGTTGTATTAGGTATAAGCTATATGATTTAGCGAATTTCAGCGATTTCAGCTTTATCAGCCACCCCCATTCGGACGTCTATAATTAATAATAAAGTATGCATGCGTTTATGAACGCGATATGCTGAATAATATTAATTACTAGTTATTCACGACTTGTACAATACACTTATATCACAAAGTCCATTGTGTATTCTCGTGTACAGTATCGATTAAAAGTTAAGTACGCTTAGGTATAATTGCTTCACCACTTTCGATCGAATATAAAATCGATGCAAACCATGTAATCATTCTTAATAAATATGTTGACGTCCAATTTAATCGATACGTATTTTAAAACAATTCTGTGTACAGTTATTGAATAAATCTATTTTTGACACAAGGTTTATTCCATTTGTTGTCTTCCTTTAGTTATTATATCTAACAACAACAAAAAACGCAACGAACTTTCCATTCAACCCAATATTTTAAGTTTTCGCGTTTTTAATTGCGCGTACGTGATATCGCATGTTCCCGTCAGTTTTGGAAATGATCGAGGCCCCGAAGCCATGAATACGAAATGGACAAGATCAGTCCAATGAGCTGAAATATGGCGGCCCATCTCGGTCGGTAGTCGTTGAAATGCACGATGCATACGTGAGTTCATGCAAATACCGAATCGCGTCATCGAACAATATTTAGCTTAACGATCACGATTAATATGCCCGACTTCGCGTTCCGCCGAGGCCGTTTACCCTTTAATGCTGTTCATTAAGATGATTGAGGCAGTTTTTTTTTGTTGCGTACTAATGATTTGTTTGTATTAAAAACAAAAACGCTATTTCCTCAACAACCCAATACTTTACGATCAATAGTAGTGAGACCAATTGTTCACTCGAGATATTGTAAATTATACACCATTAAATGCTACAATCTTTAGGCAAAGAAAGAAGGAATAGAAAATCTGTTAGAAGATACAATTGGATACAAATGAGAAGTAAACTCACTTTCCCCGGTTAATAGGTTCAATTTTGGTCCATGGAGGAAGTTGATCGACTGAATGAATTTTCTAGATGCAAGAATCATTCTTGCAATTATCGTACCCTCCATTTACAGTATGCTAAATTACAAATCGATTTGCAATTTTTTTAACAACCGAATGTAGAAGAGAATAGTGGGTGAAACAAGCATGGCAGATTTAACTCGGTAACACTGTTCAATTTTGGATCAAACCGAGTGTATTTTCGTTGTCGTCGTTACATTCCACGGCGTAAATATAAATGGGGGGGTTCTTAATAAAATCGTTCCTCGACTCGGCCGATCGCCTTCGTTGTGTTATTTTTGTCAAAAGGTTGCACGAGAACCGCGCGATGCATCTGTTCGCGATATATCAAGCACGCGAACAAAATACGTCTGCGAATCTCGTTGACGTTCACTGGCAACCGGCCAACGAATCCACGCGTTGCATTTAATATCGAGGGAGAATTATCACGGTATTCTAAGAATTAAATATTGTTTAAGTCCGGTAAAATATCCCAACGATTGTGTTTAGTCGAGCCATAAACTTCGCGGTTTTTTTTTCCAAATTTATATAGGATCGACGACGTATTTTAGAATTATTATTAACCTATTATATACGCTTTTAGTCACCGTTAATTTTAACAATTATTAAGTCATAAATAGACTGTGAATGTGTATGTATTTATAGTTACGTTCGACAGTACATAATACAATAAACTGGCACCCTTGACAGATTAAACAGAGTCATTGCTTTGTTTTATTTTATTCATAAAGGAAATTAGTTTCTATTCACTTGTAATTTTCAAATATTAACCCAAAAACCTGAACTTATATGAACATTTATATTCCAGCAGTGAAGCCTTTTAGCTTTTCATTTCAAAGTCATATCGAGCCTAGACATTTTACAATTATTATTAATGTATTAGACGTTTCCCATCACCATTAATTTTAGTAATTATAACTGTGAATATTATATAGCAGATTTTCGATACTCAGGATATAATTTATGTATAACTCAACCGAATAGACTGAATTTTGTCACAAACTGTACTTCGTTTTCCGCCTTCATATCGTTGAGATATTAATGAATTTTCGTGTTCAACGCTTTCCACAACGATACCAATCAATTGTTTGCAATTCCCTCTACTGGAGTGCCTTTTATTAATTTCCAGTGCTTGTTTAGGGGCAACTTCAATTCTCACAATTACGTGTCCGTCAATATTTACATTTCTCAGTCCATTCACGCTTATTACAACGAAATTATTCTCATTTCACAACCATACCTGTGAAACAGAGATTTCATCATTGCATTCAATATCATAACTACAAATTTTCAAACAGTGGCATTATTTAAAACTTCTACGACTTCTTGTGATTTTAATAAACTAATGAGAAATCCATACGTACGATATAATAATCGTCCATCCGGTATCGATATACTGTAAATTCAAACAATTCTGTAATCTCATCTAGAATCCTCGTTCAAAACTCTTCCGCGATAAACATCGAAGTTTTTCACCCTTTCCAATGAATAACTCCAACGTGGTCGTGTATTATTGCAATTACAGAACAAATAACGTTACTATAATCGCGATCGCACGGCTGGCAGGGCTGTTCGAATTGAAAAATTGAACAGACAAGGCGCCGAGCAAATTCGAGAGGCAAATCTGACAATGCGCGGTGCGGCTGCATTCGGAAGTAAACAAGCAAATATTTACCTGTGAAAGGTCCACGATCGAACGCGGCTCGAAACAACGGTACACAGCCCCCGTCGATTTTAACGGTTCACACGGTGTTAACTGGGCAAAGTAAAAACGAGGGAAATTATCCACGCCATTCGTTTCCAATTAATACTCCTGCAGTGTGTTCCCGGACCGATTTCGTTATCCCATTTCACCATAAATACCCTGAAATGTTTATACAGGGCAAGGTACGTAAACTCTGCGATAAAAAGACAGCACACTATATCGTTCGATTTCGGTAATAAATATACTAAAATGTGGCAATATAATTTGGTATTCTTGTTAAATACTATAAACAGCGAAAGCAATATAATACGTTACTTCAGAAGTTATATTTATATGATGTGCTATCGACTTTGATTTTCATTTCACTGTACATATATAAAATATGAAACGTTATCAAATCCGTAAATTAAATCACGATAGAGCGCATCTAAAAAATCTAATCTATAAACTGTACGTCGAATTGATCAGAAGATGAAAACTGTTTATTATCATATCTCGTACAGAGTGCCATCCAATAATACTACGACCGTAAGCATCTTTATTGCGCGTGAATACTATAGTTTAAAAGGCACGAATCAGACGACGCGTTGCGATATTAAGTTTCACCCGATGGTCCCTGCGGCGGTACGACGCGATACGATCGCATTTTCCCGCGATATCTCGCGTAAAATTAGGAAACTTTGCTCGTAAAATTAATGCCGCGAACGCGGTCCGCCATTGTGTCTTCCCGAGAATTAGGATCCCCGAGAATTGTGCGCAGCGCCACCGTCCTGCGCCGGAAACTTTGTCTTTGAAGTTCCCCCGCGGCCGTGTGATTAAGAATATTTGTTGAATTTGTTGGGAAAGCTGGGCCCGTAATCACGAGAAACGTTCCTTTGGTAATACGGTCGGTGGTGTGGCGGATGGAACATTAATTGAACAACGCGTCGAGATCTAATCGTGTCGCTCTTATCGATTATTAAACACGACAGTATTTATGCTCCGTCAGACCTGGGAAAATTTTCATTGAAATGGAAATAAGAAATAATTATTTAAACTAAGAATCTGTCCTTCAGGCTTGGCAATCAATCCAGCAGTAAAGGTAAAAGTAGTGCCCCATATTTAGACTACTTCCTGCACTGTAACAAGAATTTAATATTGATCAAAGTTCAGGCGACACAATAAAATAAAATTCGTTACACATTTCCTCCGTAATTTTTCGTCCTCTCGAAACAGCTCGTGTTCCCCCGAAGCTCTTTCTGCTCATAGAGCTTTTTACCCCCGCTATTGACCGCGCAGGTCGAAATATAATAATACGTCGCTGAACAAACATTGCCCATGAAATGCACAAAGCACGAATACAAACAGGGAACAATTCCAGCCGGAATAATACAGGCAATCGTACGAGGAAAAACGTTGTGCCTCGCGAATCAAGCGTTTAAAAGTGAACGAGGTGACATTTATTACTCGTCACCGTTGAACGGGAAATACGGAAGTTTATTAAATGTCCACCTGTCTGACGGATATTGGTAAATTCTTACCAGTAATTGTCGCCCTTAATCGTCACACGCAGCCTAATTCGTCGATGTAGATATCGAGCCCCGTGGTTCGATTAACATGGAATTCGCCTGCGAATCGGACGCCACGTGTCGTGTT